TCTACATATTTGTGATCATATGCATAGTGTTATCAGTGAGATCAATATTATACTGATTATCCTTCCAACCGATAGATTGATGGAAAATTAATGGAAAATAGGGCCACTAAAACGGAATTTTGAGTGGTGAAACGCTTCTTAATAACAGCGATAAAACTGACAGCCATCAAATTTATATCTAGGTGTAATTATTTTTGAATCATTAGTGACTCTCGGGGCCTAGTTATACATCATTCTCTCAGTTCCAATCACTGTCACTGAAATCAATGGAATCAAATATAACTGTGACTCAATATTAAAACTTTGTTTAAATGCTTCTACAGATATTTACAAATTTGATTTGTTACTGTAATTATGACAGTAACTAGACCCAAACTCTACTAAGACAACTCAGACGAATATGTAAATCAAATAAAACTCACCAATACAATGAACAGACACAAAAAACCAAAATGAAAAATGAAAATGATTTCCAGAAATCTCTAGATCACAATCGAAACTTATTCTGACAGTGAGACATTTTCAATTCGAATGGTAACGTTATTCTGAATTTGAATGAAACCGAAAAGAATAGAATACAATAGAATCTGTTCATAAATTCAAACGTTGTTCAGTCAAACAAATGTTGTTTACTGAGATTTTTTGTTATTCAGATAATACAATTTATTTAATGTGAGAATTAATATGTTGTTTTCACATCGATGCATTTAACTGATAATATTTCAGGAAATAATCATTACGAATTACACTCGACCTAAAAATTCTTTCAGATATATGTCCATTTTTTCAAACTCAAACGTTTGTTATTTCTGAGCAATACCAATCGAGCAACCATCATGATGTTTGCTCCCATGGTATTGCTAAAAAACAAAGTTATTTCGTTGAAGAATAGAAATTCATCAATTAAATTTCGATGTCTTGTGAAATTACTATTGATAATATTCTTAGGCATAGAGATCTTTCAACCAAGGAAGAATTTAATGAACGTTATGCGTCTGACATATAAAATTGAATAATTTATATTTTTATTATTTCTTTGGTAGTCTTTCTCTAGCAATTGCTTTCCAAGCAACATTGCTTGCGAAAAATCGAAAATCCAAAAGCATTAATAAAGAGGAAGAAACTAGAGTCGTGTAAGGAGAATCCATTGGATATTGCCAGTAATCCAAAAGTAGAATGTTCCCGTGTTAGTAATCACACGTTAAAAGGTAATACCTCCTTAATCCTTAGCTCGCACACGTTTCGACTTCTGAGGGTTGTCGTTCTTAGGGGTGTGACAGCTGGTTAACGAAAAAACATATTTTAAACAGAAGATTTTTTTAATTGAAGCTTTTCTATTGATATGAAGTATATCAAAATAACATTTTTTGAATTGAAATAAACGACTTTCCAATAAACATAGTTCAACAATAGAACTCAATAATTGGTTGGGAACGTCATGCATTTAGAAGAGAGAGATAGAGAGAGAGAGAGAGAGAGAGAAAAAAGAGAGTTTGAGTAAAAGAGTTTAACAAAAGAACAACAATAACTAGAGCAATAAGAAATGAAAAGGAAAGAGAAAAACAAGAAAGAAGGCAACAAGAAGTCGACTTTCCAATAAAAATAGTTCAACAATAGAACTCAATAATTGGTTGGGAACGTCATGCATTTAGAAGAGAGAGATAGAGAGAGAGAGAGAGAGAGAGAGAGAAAGAGAAACAGAGAGAGAGAGAGAAAGAGAAACAGAGGGAGAGAGAGAGAGAGAGAGAAAAGAGAGTTTGAGTAAGAGAGTTTAACAAAAGGACAACAATAACTAGAGCAATAAGAAATGAAAAGGAAAGAGAAAAACAAGAAAGAAGGCAACAAGAAGTCGACTTTCCAATAAACATAGTTCAACAATAGAACTCAATAAGTTAATTGGTTGGGAACGTCATGCATTTAGTAGAGATAGAGAGAGAAAAGAGAGTTTGAGGAAAAGAGTTTAACAAAAAAACAATAACTAGAGCATTAAGAAATGAAAAGGAAAGAGAAAAACAAGAAAGAAGGCAACAAGAAGTCGACTTTCCAATAAACATAGTTCAACAATAGAAGTCAATAAGTTAATTGGTTGGAAACGTCATGCATTTAGAAGAGAGAGAGAGAGAAAAGAGAGTTTGAGTAGAAGAGTTTAACAAAAGAACAATACCTAGAGCAATAAGAAATGAAAAGGAAGGAGAAAAACAAGAAAGAAGGCAACAAGACGAACGAGAAGAAGGAAAATGAAAAATAAAATAAGACCACTAGATGTTGTCAAACAACTAGGACAACAGTAAATGAAAAACAAGATACTACAGCTGCACGACCATCATGAGGTAATAATAGACTCCGATATCGACAATCATGTTCCGACTACAATTTCAGGCAGTAGACAAAGCCTAAGGTTAGTAGAAAGAAGAAAAGATTACTGCATTATTTCTATATTTCCGGAACAGTTAGTGGAAATCCTACAAAACATTCTGGACAGCAACCGAAACTAATATCGAACGATTGTGAAAATCTAGGAAATGCGCTGTGAACAACAGTAGTTGAAGCAAGTATATCAGAACCAACTCAGGAGTCGATAATAACATCAGCATGAGACCATAATATGGAGCAGATATCGAAAGAGTAATCAGTTTAACCTATCCTATAGATCCTTACGCTAATAAGCGTTATTACAACTGCAGAAACTGGGGGACATATCAATGAATTGCTGAAAAAGACCAAAAGCTGAAAGTATCTGAAGAAGCGATATTCCAAACGCGGAGGAAAAGCAAGATGCTTACAGATCAGATCATAGTGGCCCATGGAGAAGAAACGATCGCGACTCGAGGATAGACAACAGCCAGGAAATAAATAAGTTGCCAACACTTGAGAGAAGCCATATACCTAACACCTACGAGGAGTTAATTTCAACATTTCCAGTCTGTTGTAAATATAGGGACAAGTCAGTATCACAGGAGTTCAAGCTGAAGGATATCGTAAGTAAAAACAAGAAATGGGAAAGTATTGAAGGTGAATTGAGGAGAAGAAAAATGAGAGTATCAATCAGTAAAAACATTCTCTTTTCAAAACTGTGACAGTTACATCATACACGTGTCAGTAGTGATAATTTTGGACATTTCTTCTTTGAACGATTAAAAAAACCATTGATTTGATGTTATATACAAAAATATCATTCTGCATGCACATTTAAAAGTTTTAACTTGCTTTTCAATATAACTTGTCCTAATAAATGACAAGTTTCATGATATGAGGGATGCTCAAAAGTAATGGTACTAGTGAACCTGTGAAATACTGCGTACCATTTCGTAGCCTCTTTTTTAATCATCCATTGCAACATAAAATTGTTTGCTAGACTGGGGAAAGCAGTATAAGGAATTCGAGAATAGTATACACAGTTTTGCTAACGAGCAGAGCAAAGAAGGCCCTTCAACGTCTTACACTGATATTGAAAAGAACACAACTGTAGTTATCGTTCGCGTAGAAGAGATACTTACCGTTAGCAAGCTTGCCGCATGTCTGATAATTATTCGGTCATGCAAAGGATGTCTTGCAGTTTGTTGGTGGAATTGGTCAACACAGAGAAAATGCATTGTTGAAAATCGGTTTTGATTGCGATGCAACATTTTGTAAAGGAAAACAGATGAAAACAAATACTCAAATATGAATAACACGTCATCAGTTTACTAGCAATGCCTACATTGCATCTGTTCCCCATAAATAGTACGATTCAAATTTCTGAATTTTTGGCGGAAATTACGACCAATTACAAGGCCAATAAAGCTGATGAGTCGCGCATCAAATAACTTGAAAAAGACGATGCAAAAGTTGAATTTTTACAGAGGGGCAAAAAGCATACAGACTCAGAAGACACTTTACACATTTTTTCTTGTATGAAGATGAAGAAGTAGAAAACCGAAAAGTTTTTTCCCAGGATTGATTTAATATTTATATTTGTGTAAGACTCAAAAAATTAAACAATACATTCATTTGTGAAATGTTTAGCAACTGCTATTTTCCTATGGGCTTCTGAATTCAGATTCAACAGAGTACAGTAATTCGTGACCAATTATTAGGCCACTGCTGCGGAATCGTGATTCAAAGAACTTAAAACAGACAGTACGAAAGTCGTCGAATATAAAGACAAAAAACATAAAGATATGGAATATTGAATAAATATGTATATTTGTGTGGAGTATTTCATCATTACTTTTTGAAAATCCCTCGTAAGTTAGTGTGAGGTTCAAGAAATAGAAAAAGTATATTTATTTGAGATCAAACCATGGTAAATACCTATCGGAAAACAACTACTTCCCCGCAAATAGTATATTTATTTGCGAATTGGTTAGCATCTCCTATTAACGAAGAGTTTTCGGATTGAATTATCATCACTTTACCATTCAGATTCAACAGAGTTCCGTAATTCACGACCAACTGATAGGTCATTGAAGCTGCGGAATCGTGATTCGAAGAACTCAAGACAGTGTGAAAGTTGAAATGGAATATAAGGGCGAAAAGCATGAAGATTCGGTAGATTGTATAACTATTTATAATTGTATAGAGTATTTTATCATTACTTTTTGAACAGCCCTCGTAAGTCAGTGTGAGGTTCAAGTAATGAAAATAGTATGGTTAACGTCTCATATTTTCAATGAGTTTCCGAATTGAATTATTATCCCTTTCATATTTTCAATGAGTTTCCGAATTGAATTATTATCACTTTATCATTCTGATTCAAATAAAATGTGATAAGAAGTTTGTACACCTCTCCAAAAAATAATGGTCAGTAACATCCAGCCGGTCCAAACTCAGTGAATGCTTCGAAGATTCCGGCCTGAGTTCTTCGAACTCAAAAATCCTTCGAATTTTGCTGATTTGCATCTGTCAGTCTGTCATTCTCTGAGCATAAACTACTTTCTTTTTCCGAATAATTATCATCAATATCAGTACACTTGAATTAATTTATCGAACGCTCACCCAGTATATTTTTGACGAATATCTTAATTGGTAACAGATAGTTTATTTCCATAAATGTAACCACTCTCTATTTTATGTATACATTCATTTATTTACATTCGCTAAAATCTTCTACGCACATCTCTCTTCTGAAGAATGACACCTTACGTTTCTTCACTGCCGCTTTCGATGTGGTACTACCTCTGAAGAGCGGAGTTCAGAAGAAAAGGAACATAGAACATTTTACTCTCAAGAAGAAGAGTCGCTGCAGATTGAATCTGAAACAGAAAAAAAAATCAGAAGCAGAAATACCAAACCACTGAAGAAAGACTTCCTAGAAACGTTGAATCATCTGCAGAATTCAGTGAAATTCCACAAAATAGTAATAATGGTAAGAAATATCTATGATATCTCCTCTTACGAAGACGACTTTAATAAAATTGAGAAAAAAGTCGTTTATCACTGATATTCGTGGATTATTAATTATGTTTTCGTAAGACAAGATGTCATACCTTTTTTTTTCTCAGACTTGCCCTATTGATAAATCGATATCAGTCGACGATTAGTGATACTCTGGTAAGTGTCTTTTAGGTCAAACTTTTTTCTCCGCTTCCGAAAAATATGAACGATTCGAAATAGCGCGTAGATAATTTTTGAAAACATTCAAGTGCCGCTTGCAAAAATTGCAAAAGATAAAAACAATTAACTAAAAAAAATGGGGTTACTTTTTTTGCAAATATCACAAAAACTATTCGACAGTTTTCAAATTCGAAAAAAGATTCAGAAAGTAGAGGATATCTACAAAAACAAGGAACTATAGGACCAAGATTTATAATTTTCCCACAGGGTTGAAAACTTATTAAATATCAAAATTAAGAAGTGAAAAGATTTTGACACCTACTGGATGAATAAATGAACAATAATCCGCGGCCAAAAAAAATATTTATCGTGATTTTCCAGTTAATTATGCATTAATTCCCACATTTTTCTACTTAAACATTAACATTGCAAGTAGGCTAATTTTGAAAGGTCTCAGAATTGATTCCCGTTGATAAAATAAAAAAAAATAAATAGGTTGAAAATTGAAAAGCTTCATTATTCATTGAAAAATAATTTTTTTATATTACCATCCATCGGTTTTTTATGATCAGGAGCTATATGAAAATGGTTTTTAAAAATTTTTATCAGCTATTGTTTCATAAATTGTTATGAACAAATGCGTTGTTTACAAGATAATTTAAAAAATTATTTTGGAACTATAATCCTTGATGCAAATTATGATTAAATAAATTGTTTAAAAAATTATTACCTAAAAACGGATTTGTTATTGAACAATTTTTTCTACCACTTGTAATTAATATTCAGGAACCATTTTTNGTTTCAAAAAAAATTAATAACCCATAAACAACGTATTTGTTCATAACTATTTTTGGAACAATAGAAAATAAAAAAAGTCATTTTCATGAAGCTTCTGATCGATATCAACATGAAAAAAAATCTTAATGATTAACAAAGATTTTTAATTTTTAACCTAGGTAAATTGTTAATGAATCGAAAAATAACCGAAAATTGCGTCAGTAGCAGCCGTCACAGGTCAACAGAAGAGGTCCGATTCTGCTCCACGACATCGCCCATCCCCACGTTTCACAAATCACCCGTCCGAAAATTGAACGAATTGAGCATCGAAGTTCTGCCTGCAGTTTGAAGAATACTCATAAAAACGGACAAAACTTTTAGAAGGACGTATTATAAATGGGGGCTGCATACGATTTTATATAGAAATTTGCACAAATCCAATATACCGTACATACAGCGTGTAAAAGCTAAATGGATTAAATTAATTATTTCGGTTACTGTACATATTAAAAAAAATCCCGAAACACGTCAAATGTAGATTATAATTTGACATTCTTCAACGTAAAAATGCCACCCCTTCCTTCAACTCCCTTCGAATGACAGGTACAACCCCCAATTTTTCAAATGAGAAGTATATGTTTGTGATATATCGTTTAAAGGTCTCTTCATTCTCTATTCAAAAATGATATCGCTTTCAAGTTTATTGCAACAATTAAGATAAAATAAAATGAAATCATGTGGTTACCGAAATTCGATAAAATACACTCAAAAACTAAAATGTAATGCAAAACGTAATGAAATGTAGAATACGAAAAAGAACTATGGATGTTAATGAAGATGTTCAAAATGTTGACCGCTAATGTCTTGGCAACATCCTAATCTCAAATAAAACTGTCTTCTAACATTTTTTAACATATCAGGCGCGACCGAACTAATCGCAAGCGCTATTCTTCCTTTATGTCATTCAAATCTGAAGGTTTAGTTTTGTACACATTGCTCTTTACATGTCCCCACAAAAAGAAATCTAATGATGAAAGATCAGGTGATCGCGTTGGCCATTCAATCGATTCTTGCCTCCCTATCCACCAATTGGGAAATGCCGTATCGAGGTATTGCTGGACATTAACTTGGTAATGTGGTGGTGCTCTATCCTGCTGAAACCATATCCTATTCACTGCATAAGGATATAAATTTGCTGAAATTGGAATGATATCATTTTCAAGTAGTGCCAAATAATCATCGCTATTCATGTTGCCCTCAATGAAAAAAGGACCAATGATATAGTTTCCTACAATTCCTGCACAAACATTAACTTTTGAGGGTGTTCTCTCATCTAGTGAAGATTTTCCGTTGACCGGTAGCGGCAATTTTGCCGATTAGCATGACCGTTAAGAGACAAAGTACACTCATCAGAAAATATAACGTCTTCAAATTGGATGCTATTGTTATCCAACATATCCATTATTTGCTCACAAAAATAAGTTCTATCAAAATCATCTTCCATGAGCTCCTGAGTAGGTATCATTTTATAGGAATGCATTTTATTTTATTTTAATATATTTACTATCGATGTATGTCTAACATTGAATGTGGTGGATGCCTCTCTACTCGATGTATGTGGGTTTTCCTCAAACATCACATCTAATTTGAGTTCATCACTCATTGCATTGGCAGCTTTTTTTACCTGCCCCACATGACCAAGCTTGCGAAATTGCTTCTTTATTTTGCTAATTGTTCCTTGAGATATGGGCGGTGAATTAGGAAATTTCTCACTAAATAGGCGAGCTACTTTCTGTTGTGTTCGAGTTTTATCTCCGTAACCAAACGTAAAATTGTTATTTTATGGATTTCCGTTAATCTAACCATTTGTCTGACTGGAAATTAACGAACTTTAAACTTAAATTAAAATACTGACAACTAATGTTGTAATATACAAAACAAGTTGACACGGTGTTTTTAACTCACGTTACCTACTACGGAAATGATTTGCAGTTTTTTAAAGGATACCATCTGAAAAGAACATTGCTATGGTCTTTGCTTACTTTCTTATGATCAATACCTTAAAACGAACTTCGGTAACCACATGATTTTTATTTATTTTATTTTAATTGTTGCAATGAACTTGAAACATTTTTGAACAGAGAATGAAGATACCTTTCAAACGATATATCACAAGCCTATATTTCCAATTTAAAAAATTGGGGGTTGCACCTGTCATTCGACGGGGATTGAAGGTAGGGGTAGCATTTTACGTTGAAGTATGTCAAATTATAATTTAAATTTGACGTGTTTCGGAATTTTGTTAAAATATGTACCATAAACGACATAATGAATTGCTTCCATTTGGCTTTTACACACTGTATATTGACAAATCAAAATACAAATAAAACCTGCATTTATACAATACAATATCAAATAAAATTAAGACTTATGAATGGGTCTCAGTTTAATACTAAATAAAATTGTTAGAATAATGACTGTCACATTTTTAAATAATTACACTATGAATGAAGTCATTGAATCATAGGAGGAAGAAATGAATGTAACTAACTCACCTCTGGTAATTTAACTATTAAGTCTTGGAATCTTGTGGGCTGATGGGGATACATATGTTGTGTATATATACGGAGGCAAGTCATATATCTCTCATGAATTATTTCCATTTCACTGGGTCCCGAACTACTGGAAGGTCTGGCTGTAAAATTTAAAAATTATATCATCAACAACCGGAACGGAATCAGTTTGTACCAGAAAAAAATTTCATTTCAGCATTTAAAACTCTATAGGAAATATTCCATGGAACACATGTATTGAGAAAATTCTTGGGCCACATATACAGACCGAAAACTTGAAACTATGTTTTTATACCACTTTCATTTGTAACTAACGATATTGCAGTTGTGTCCCAATACAAGTACATTTTCAAACAAATACAATAAACTTGTATTCGTTCGAATATAAATTGATAAATAAGTTTATTCTCTTTTTCGATCTGCAATTGAAAATGGACTGTCATGCACATGTGTACAGGTGAAAAGCTTATAAATCATAATGCAGTTTTTGCAGAATAGACAGAAACTTACAAAACACTTTTTAAGAAAACTTGAACTCTAAATTTTAGATCAAAAACAATAAACAGTTTTATAGTTATTTCAGAAAGAGATCACATGAATATGAGACTTGGTTTACGCTTTAGGCGTTACTTTGAGAGTACAGAAGTTAAACTGTTTTGACGAACATACCAATATCTTTTTTGTGGTAGGTCACGAAGTATATATTACATCTACTAAATGTCAATTTTCGTGAAGTAAATCGACCGTAGTTTCCATAGACCTTCTTTGGGTATTTTCCCCTTCCAAAATCTGAGAAAAAATACTGAAATTGTAATGGAAAACCTTATACAGGTGTGGAAAAGGTAAACTTTTTAGTTCACTCTAATACGTTACTACAGACTTTAGCCTCCGAAACGTTGAGATATGTATCTGTATAATTTTTCTGCTATTTTTTATAGGTAAAATTACTGGAGTGTTATTGATGAAATGAACATTTTCTTTGTGAAAAATACTTTGAATTAACGAAGTTATTTATCGGAATAACTAAAAAGTTTGTATATATGAATGGACTGAGCCGTAGTTTCCTCGGTAGAAAATGAGGAAGCTTCCGAGTTTTTGGTTTTCTATTACCCAATCATGATACAAAAAAATGTGGGAATATTCCAAAAAAAGGAAGGAAGAAATCAATTTCAAAAATTAACTGTATACAAAGATGTGTAGATCATGCAGAGAAGTAACTTTCAGACACAAACTGGAAGAAAATGTCCTATCAAAACAGCTGTTTTCATATAAACATTGAATGAACGCTGAATATTACGAAGAACACTTCTCTCTATTCCATTTGAATTTCAAACATTCGTAATGGAATCGAATCAGATATCATTCACAGGATTCCTACACAATATAATTGATGAAAGATGTAAAATTTCACTTACATAGAACATTTTCATCTTCTTTGCTAGACATTCGATGTTTCGCCGTATGACACTTGCCTCGGCTTTTCAGTAGCAAACACGGATAACATAAGGAAAAACACTCAATTCGTTAATAAAATTACGACTTTTCATCACGGAATGGGTTAAATCCACCCATGATATCAATAATGTAGATATTCACAAATATAAAATGTTTTATTGGACGTAGATATTAATCACGAATAAAAAAACTGATAATTCAAAACGGATCATGAAAAAAAACTGATGTTGAAAAACATCCCAACAAGTCATTCATCAACAAACAAATATTGATCTTGTTAATTCATTTCAAAAAAACGGTATTACAGATGTCGACTTCTCAAGTCTAAACCTTCGTCGTTTTCTTGAAGGATTTCGTTAGTATACAGAAAATATCATAATAAGCCTAAAGTTACACTGATAATTATTAAGTAGGATTAGACAATATTTACATTTGAATACAGTTGAAAATAAAAAAGCTGCAATCAAAACAATAATCAAAAGAAAAAAAACACTTAAACAAAATTGAATGATCTTGTTAATAAATTTGATTTTTGACCAACAAAAGTTTTAAACTATGGAATGTTTATGCACATGGAAAGTATTAAAATTGTTTTTGAATATTACAGAGTTTTAGTTTGAATGGAGTCATGTGCTATGGCTAAGCTTTTGCTAGGACTCAAACAACTTCGATTTTTTTCGGGATTATTTAAAACATGGAAAGATCGATTTGACATTAACATTTCATATGAGAATATGAGATAACATAGGCTCTTTGTCAAAACTGATAAAATATACATTTTTGATGAAAATATTTAATACTCCATATTAATATTATTCACCATTCCCTGCTCCCCGGAAATAACTGTTGACAAAAGATGCCTTTGATTTCATCATCCAACAGATTTGAATATTCCCAATTCCTTTGCGATTAAAATTTCCATCCATAAAATTATTCAATAATTTTGTTACTTTTCGCCATTTCGTTCATAAATATTGGCGTTTTGGCGAATTCGCCAAATAATAAACAAGTTAAAATTTTGGCGAATGGTATTACTAGGTCTAGTAAAATAGCTGAAATGAAATGTTGAAATTTAACTTCATAAATCGAACTATTATTCTGAAATCGCTTGCATGAGGGGAGTTGTGGAAAGGTTTCTTGAACAAATAAATAATGAAAATCAGTATCAATTCATTTAAACCTTGTACTGAGGACATTTTTTGAAACAATTTTGACATTAGGTCAGTTATAATAATCAAAACAAAATGGCATTGACATATTAGCTTTTCTTGTATTTACAACTAGTTGATGAAAATGATGTATTGGTAACAACAAGCAAATTGGCTATCTGTCTGTTTGTTTTTCGGTGATATTTCAAGATTTCATCTATAACTGCATTAGACAACTCGAATTAACTCGGTTAAGAAAAATATATGAAGACTGACAAAATTATAGATGATGTACTGCGCTCAATTGAATGATTATTGTTGTTTCTCTCGTTGACCAAGATATTTTATGAACATTATTATTTTGGTGTGTTCTAAATAGGGTTATCAAAGCTGTGCCAAAATGTCTCCACTTACAGTGGATCTGCTTTTCCATTATTTCTCATTCAGCTACTTCCACCCCAAAGTTAGGGTAACAACAACACGAAAATTCAAATGACGTAACCTGCACCTGTTTTCTGAAAATTTTCTGAAAATGTTCTTTCAAATAAATAATTGATAGAAGTATAACTTCACATCATCAATTTTGGTCATATCTTTCGCTCAATCATTGTTATCTAACACCTGGACTGAAAAGTCCCGGGCCTAAGAGAAAAATTGACTCCATTCATCAACGTAATTTCCACCAAGAGCTACACAATCATTCCAATGCCGCTTTAACATTTCAATACCACTTTTGTAGAATGATTTACCTTTTGCCCCAAAATGAGATAAGTTTCAGCAATAACCTCTTCAATCGAGCAGAATTTCTTACCCGTGAGCATTTTTTTGAGGTCTGCGAACAGCCAGTAGTCGCTGGAAGCCAAATCTGGCGAATATGGTATATGCTAGAGCATTTCGAAGCCCCTTTCATACAACTTTGCCATAGTTATCATTGATTTGTGAAACTGTGCATTGTCTTGATGCAGTAGCACTTTCTTTTTCTCAAAATGGGGTAATTTTTCCGCAATTTCAGCCTTCAAACGCTCCAATAACGCTATATTATATTCACTGTTGATGGTGTTTTTCTTCTCAAGATAGTCGATTAATATTACATCACGCACATCCCATCCTTTCCAGCTGATTGTTGTGCTTTCGGGCGATTTGGACGAGGTTCGCAAGTTGCTATTCACTCAGATGACAATTGTTTTGATTCCGGAGTGAAGTGATGGTTCCATGTCCATTCATGGTCACATATCGGCGCAAAATGGCCAAAAACTGCTCAGATTCATCTTGATTTTGGTCAACAGTGAGCCCGCGCGGCATCCATTTTGAACAGAGCTTTCTCATAGTCAAATGCTCTTGCAATATGAAGCCAACACTTTTTTTTGGATATTTCTACAATATCAGTTAACTCATGCAACTTTACTTTTCGATCATTCAAAACAATTTTGTGTTTTTCTAATGTTTTCTGGTGTTACTGTTTCAGTTAGACGTACACAGTGTTCTGCATCATTGGTGTCTCTACGACCACGTTTGAAGTCAGCAAACCAACGTTTAATTGTTGTTTCTGATAATGCGCAGTTCTTATAACACTTCGCTTCGCTTGAACGGTATTCTTTCTCATCAGGTTAAAACACGAAATTGTTTTTGATCCATCGTTTTGAAAATAACAAAAGTAGTTTTACTCTTAGCTCAATAAGTCACAAACTTATGAGTGGAATATTTCAACAGGCTTCTTTTGAAGGCTAGATTAGGTTAGGTCCAAAGTGAGTGACCCTTCACCGCAACCCGCAAGACTGTGGAACTCCTTGAGTAATTAGATTTTTATCAGAATAAGTTTGTTGGCCATTTTGAATGTCTACGACTTGGTATCTTCCAGACAAATATGATTTTATAAGGTCGTGTGCGTTGCCTCTATAATCTTCCATAATCCATAATCTTCTAGTTTATCTAGTGAAATAGTATGACTGATCATGTCGAAGGCCTTTGATAGATTAAAGTAAAAGCTTCCTACCATATTTTTTTCTTCAATATTATTCATAATTTCTGTTATCGCATTATGAATTGCAGTGATTTGTAGAGTGAGTGGTCTTTCAGGTCAGATGGTAAGAGTACGACTCTGACGAACTCTAAAAACCTGATTCGGTCCCCAGCGGGGCAAGCACAAAGTAAGTTCTCTGCTGTTTCATCATGTTACAAAAAGAGGCGACACACACTGTCTTCCTGGAAGATTCTGCTAGAAGTCCATAAATCTTCTTGCCATCCAAGTGTTCAACGTTTGTTTGGTAAAGCTCAAAGCGATGCCAATGACAGGTTCTAGTCCGATGAAGCTGCTTGCAGCACCCTCCTTTGCAAGGGAGTCAGCAGCCTCATTGCCTTCCAGGCCAGTATGGTCAGGAATCCAGACCAGAGATAATTTGTCAAGTCTTCCTATCGAGGAGAGTCGTTTTTGGCAATATGCTTTTGAAGATTCGTAGTAACTGGCTTAGCGATGAATGCAAGAAGACTGGCGTCATTTGAGACTTTTCATTCCATGAAGTATATCCATCAAAACAACTTCAACTGGTGCCATACTCACCACGTAAATAGCTGATATACTGTTGGTATATTGATCAATGAACGTTTTTGTACCTACGCAAAACTGATATCATCGTATAAACGTCAGGATTTTGCCAGATCCTAATGTGATAGAACGTTGGGCGAGGTGAATGTTTATTATTTCAATTCAAAATAATATATTTTTGTGGCAATTTCTCACTCTATTGTAGCCATGACAGTTTCGGAGATATTTTTCTATGTGTATCACATGAATATATCGATTTGAATGAAACAAAAAAATGGTTTTGTCAAACTTCGACATGGTGACAAATTCATTCAACTTCAATTTTATCAGTAGATGAGCATCTCTAGAGTATAATAATTTTGAATTACTTCCCACGTGTACAAAAACTGAATATTGTCAAAAAAATAGAAGGATGTGTGTACAGTATACATGTTATAAAAGTTATATTGGTGATACATTACGGCCACTAAGATCACATATTGATTATCATAAAAGATAAAGATAGATATCGAGATTAGGATCAGCGGAACACATTTTGAAATCGATATTAACAATGAAACAAGTAAAAGAGTCAAAATACTCATAAATTTTGAATATGTATTTTCATTAACTCTGTGGAAATGGGTATGAGTGAAATAAATTCTCAGATAACATCATGTGTTGTGGACTACCACATATGTCTCTGGGCATTTGTTATTCAATAATAACAAAAAAAATTATCGAGGAAACAATATGATATTTTATGTTGAAGACAGATGAAAACGTTCTTCGTAGGCACGAAACAGTAAATATTGTTGTTGGAAAAATCCAAATGAAAATTCAACACGACATTGACATTTCAATTATTTCAGATCTTTTCCGTCTGGGTCAAGCAGAAATAGAAGTGGTAAACAAATTACTCAACTAGCAAAGCATGAAAATAGACAGCAGACTGTAGTTTTGGCCTTGAACGATTAGAAATGATGCAATGAATTTGTATGAGACTGAGAAATCAACTCATAATTTTTCAACTTCAGAAACCTGGATGCACAAGAATTAGCTGAGGCATTCATTGTTTTCTGTCTTTCAATGTAATGGAATTATGTTGAGGAATCTAGATTATCGTGAGACGTTCTGCTCTGGTATCTCTGGTATCACGTAATATGAAAAAAAAAAATGAATGGGCTTTATTCATTGTTTATGAAGAAGTAGATGCATAAATCGATGAAAGGGCGAAGTTCAGCCGAAGCTGTTTCACAACTTAACCTAGGGGATAGCATGTATTATATAGAAATATAAAAATAATTATCTAGTATACATCGATAAGTGAGTAGTTCATGAATATTTGTTAAACTAAGACAAAACAAACGCTATAAATTTCAAAGTAAATATTAAAAATCTATTCAGCTTAAATAAGGTAAAATATATAGCAAAACATACACAAAAGTGAGACAAAGAGGAAACCATATGAGCAAGGCATAACATGAATATATTATCTATATGGAGGTTATTGATTGGACTTCATAAAGGCTACAACTTGCAGTCATTTCATTTCTCATGCTACGTTTACTTAGGGCCACACTCTCATTTTTTTTTTCTCAAATAGGAACCTGTATTTTTGTAACAAATTCTGATGCCTCTCTCAATTCTGCATTCACATATCTACCACATGACTTCTCGACGTTTCACACCAAGAAAATATCATCATAACTTAGTTGATCGTATCTGATAATCTATATAAGTACTTATTTCTTATTACGAAGTGAAAAACCGAACGTGAAGCCTGTAATGACTATTCAAAAATCAATTGTGATTGGAAAAATGAAATTTCGTAGGGAGCATCATGGTCATTCGCAGTATTGTCAGATATGTAATGTAGTAGAAACAATCTACCTTCAATTAGATGAATTCGCGCTAGAAAAATATCTGATTGAAGGTGGGTTCGAACTCACGACCTCTGGGTCGTAATTTTTCTTTGAATACTACCAAAGAAATTTTACCAACTTATTGAATGTGATGAAACTAATTGATAATAATTAGATCAATTTATACAGTCAGATCTGAATTGAGTGCTAAGCCCCTAGTAAGTGATCTTTCCAGGCAGATTTCCAATGTGAGATACACTAACAATTTCATTACTGAGAATTCCATTATATATTTTGGTAGGAGTATGACTGTTTGAATGATTCTCTTTCGAAAGCAGGATGAATCAAAGTACCTTTCAATCTCACATTTAAATAGTGAATATCTGACCGAAATGTTATTTTCCTATGTAAGTATAAAAGTATCTTATTGGTGATTATGCCGTCTAATAATGATGCACTATGAAGATATCTTTTGTCGGATAAGTTCAACCAGCCAGCCTCAAAGATTTTTCGACAAATTCTCTGACTTTTTCTCAACCCATATCCCATACTGGATTGTTGAACCTGGTCTTCACATAGACTCAACATTTAAAAAAGTATAAAAATAACATTTCACACAGAATTGTTTTGATATCGGAAGTTGAACCTTGCCTATTTCTGTAAATAATGTTCAAGTAGAGTAGGCTATTTGTAATAGTCCACTCATATGTTTATCAAATCTGGGATTTTAGCCAAATATGATACCTAGACTTTCAACTCCATCAGTCATCTGAAATTCATCACAATCCGTAAATTTGTTATCAGAGCAAATATCACGAGTACAATAATATTGCTTCTGCTAACAATAATTATCGGACTGAATTTATTAATTTTCAAGCATTACTGAGACGTCATCTGAGACTTTTCATTCCATGAAGTATATCCATCAAAAAAAAATTCAACTGGTGCCATACTCACCACGTAAATAGCTATACTGTTGGTATATTGATCAATGAACGTTTTTGTACCTACGCAAAACTGATATCATCGTATAAACGTCAGGATTTTGCCAGATCCTAATGTGATAGAACGTTGGGTGAGGTGAATGTTTATTATTTCTATGTATATATATATATATTTTCTATGTATATCACATGAATATATCGATTTGAATGAAACAAAAAAAAAAGGTTTTGTCAAACTTCGACATGGTGACAAATTCATTCAACTTCAATTTTATCAGTAGATGAGCATCTCTAGAGTATAATAATTTTGAATTACTTCCCACGTGTACAAAATCTGAATATTGTCAAAAAATAGAAGGATGTGTGTACAGTATACATGTTATAAAAGTTATATTGGTGATACATTACGGCCACTAAGATCACATATTGATTATCATAAAAGATAAAGATAGATATCGAGATTAGGATCAGCGGAACACATTTTGAAATCGATATTAACAATGAAACAAGTAAAAGAGTCAAAATACTCATAAATTTTGAATATGTATTTTCATTAACTCTGTGGAAATGGGTATGAGTGAAATAAATTCTCAGATAACATCATGTGTTGTGGACTACCACATATGTCTCTGGGCATTTGTTATTCAATAATAACAAAAAAAATTATCGAGGAAACAATATGATATTTTATGTTGAAGACAGATGAAAACGTTCTTCGTAGGCACGAAACAGTAAATATTGTTGTTGGAAAAATCCAAATGAAAATTCANCTTCATTTTCTCAACATTTTCATCAGTTGTTGATGAGCTGGGACGTCCAGGGCGAGTGTCGCCATTCACATCTGCTCAACCTTCTGTGACAAGCTTGTACCACATGTAAACATTTTTCTGACTCAGAGTACAATCACCGTGTGCCATTGTCAACTTTTCAAATTTTTTCGAGCATCCAATTCGATTTTCAACACAAATTCTTTGACACATTTTTTTCGATAGCAGAAAATCACCGAACACGCAAAAAATTTCCAACTTTAATGCCTCTCACCTACAAACTCAACATGCTAAACTGCTGAAACCGTAAACATATGTTAGAGATGAGTGTACCGACATGAAAAAAAAAACGCTAATCGAATGTACGCAGCTTGCGCAATTTGCATATTTACTTTATTTTTTGAACAGTCTACGTAGTCATGATACAACTCCTTTCCCCTATGCCAGAAGATGGTTTTCCAATTTGGATTTGATCTTCACATTCAAGAAACTACTCTTATGTTCCTTCATTATAAGCAGACTAACTCTCGGACTGTCGGAAGACAGTGTGTGTCGCCCCTGTTTGGGAAAAGATGAAACAGCAGAGCACATACTTTGTGCCTGATCCGCTGGGGACCAAATCAGGTTTTCAGAGTTTGGCAAGGCCGTCCTCTTACTATCTGACCTGAAAGACCATAAACTACAAACTAATCGGCTTCGTTGAGAAGCTGGGTTCATTTGGTCGAGTGTGAATAGGTTTAAGCGACAATAAAACCTGGCAGGTTGCGGTGCTGGGTCGAATAGACCCACTCATTTTTTGACCTAACCTATGTTCTTTCATTCTTCGGGAAAAAGTTCTTTCTGTTTGGCCAATATAATGGGCAAGAACTTAAAATCAAATTACACCTGTTTTACGGTTTTGTAGACTGTCCAATGAAAATCCCACAATGAAGTGTTGAATTTGTTAGTAGTTGATGATTTAGAATGACAACACATTCGTTCAGGCATGTTCAACAGACTTTCATCCAATTCAACCAATACAGTTATTTCACACGACAAACAATAAGGATAACCGGCTCTTCGCTCATCTGATAAAGTTCATAATCAGGATCAGAGATAGAAATTATTCGAATATTACATTCTTCTATAATTTATTTAGTTTGAAAGTGAATGATTTACCTTGATTCAGCATGATGATGGCTTTAAGGCACACATATTCTTCCATCGTCAATTTGATCTGTCTGAACATTATCGCAACGTGTGTTATTCTTTCTATCATCAATCCGACGTCCTCTCTAAGTTGGTCCATCGTAACCTCCCTTCCCATCATCGATGCTAAACAGTTTTTCAACGTCAACAAGTTTGAATCCACCTAAAAATCAATTCAGAAAATTAGTGATTAATTCTCGTCCGAGGTTTCGTTGTGAAAGAAATATTGTTCTGAAGATGAAAGATATATTATAATTGTCACTATATATCAGGTAAGAGTACGACTCTGANGTACTGGTTGTTACGACTTCTCTTCCTTGCGAGACTCTTGCTGCCTTTTGGCCAAAGTCTGTTCCACTTTGTCTGTTACTTTGAAGTAACCATTCCGTTGAAGATCATTTTTGATGATGCCAAGTTCCTTTTCGAGACCTTCCTTCGTATTACGAAGCCCGAAAGCATGGCCTACTAGAGTCTTGATGTTTCCTCTTCTGGTCGATTGATGGTGATTGGATTCGTGGGTTCGTATGAGTGGGTTTCCGGTATACAGATGTCAGCTCCCGCTAAATCGGTGAAGCGGAGAAAGGAAAGAGGGGATAGGTGGAAGTACTCGAATGACCTATAAATCCAGTCATCACCCGAAGACAAATGTAGATACTAGCAATAGAAACGTCGTGAAGTAATTTGGCTTTATCGCGATATGACGTTTGTTATAAAATTGTTTAGTGAAAATCTCACGATAAAGTGTTTTTTGAATACTTTTGTTCAAAATAAGGTAGTAATCATCGACCTATAGTGTTTGCGTTGACAGTGATGGCCTGGCCAACGTCGTTCTCAAGATATATGGACCGATGTCGTCGCCAACCCAAAATACACACCAAACAGTGTCTTTTTTGGGATGCATTGGACGCTGTTGGATCTCATGTGAATTAGTATCGCCCAAAAGTCGACAATGTTGTTTGTTCATGTACCCATTCTTCCAGAAATGAGCCTTATCGCTGAAGACGATTTTTCGGTGAAAATTAGTGTCAGTTGCCAACTGCTCCAAAGCCCATTCAGCGAACACACGTGGTTGTCTATGGTCGTTTAACTCCAGTTGGGTTCAGTTGAATTTTGTACGGGCGCAGGTTCAAATCATGACAGCTTCACAACTTCCTCTTTTCTGTTTTCATGGATGAACTGAAAACAAGAAGCTGTGAGCTTCAATTGAATATGGAATTCTTTTCTAAGAAGTTCATGCATAGCAAACAGCATGACGGCAAGTAGAAAAGAGTCAAAAAACGTTATTGACAATTTACCAAATCTAGGTACAGGTATTATTACACCAGACTACCTGAATCAACATAAACACGATTTATGTAATTTACCTAAGCCAGATACAGGTATAAGCACACCAAACCACCTGAGGATTCAACATAATCAAGCGTTACGCAGCCGTAATATCCACTCATCGGAGATATCAACTCAGGATGTATGATCGTCTGAAGAAGCTAGCCACTAGCACCAACGAAACGTCAGGAAGAAATTCCAAAAATCCACGGCCTTCAAACTCGAAAAATAGTGACACTGAATAAAATTGAAGCTTTTCTCAAATAACGTTAGATATCGTTAACATCGCTGTTCATGTCACGATACAGAGTTGCGTATTCTACAACGTCATGATCTAAATTGAAACATAGATGCGAATTCTGATGACACACTCGCGAAGTTTCCTCGACAATAATATTAATCGCACTCTTGCTCAAGGTTTCACAAAGCTTACACTATTTATCCTCGCTGAATTTAGGTCAACTTCGCAAAGATTGGAGAGGACCTTAAGAATCTGGAATTATCAAAGATGTTTATCATCAAATCTATGTTTGTCAGTAACAAACTTCACTTTTAGGTGAATAAAGTTTTAATTGACTAAACATTTTCGCTGATAGGAGACAGGTCGGAACTAAAAATATCAAATAACTCATCTCATCCAGTATACAATAATATTGACAAATAGCAAAGAATGGATTAATTAATTACTAGCAAAGATAATTTTTCAAATTTGGCACAGTACGCCTTATATCCTCCCAAATAAGACAATTTTGTTTGTTCACGTACCCACGGTAAGTTGCCGGTTGCCGGAACAGAACACCCATTTCGATAAAACAATGTTATTATTTGCACCTGCTGTTGGATGCTATATCCGTCCTTAATGATTTGGCAAAACAGACTGAATGAATGATAACTAATTTGACAAGATAACCGTTATCAATTGTCTAAGTTCAAAANAGTTGAAGTTGAAAAAAATTGTACACCTTTATTTTTATTGACAGTTTTCGTTGTACTGCTTTGAAGCTTGGTACGAGAAACTTCTAGCGAAATGACAGATTTATGTTTAGGAACGACCAAAGTAGTTGTGTTTCAAATCTCACATCAGTTGACGTGAGAAAATATTTTTAACTTGTGATTAAAAAAAACTGTTGAAAATCTGTTTTTCCGTTAATCAGCGAAAGAACGACAACTCTCAGAAGTTGAGGAACTTGTGCCAGCTAAGGACTAACGAGGTCTTACTTTCTAACGTGTGATTTCTAACACGTTATTCTGATTTCAAAAACTACACCTCACGATTTGATATCCACAAACTTTATTTGAAAAATATATCACAACATGTTTGGATAGCACAGTAGCTTTGTCAAGAGATTTGAATACTTCGAGTTGTTCTTACATTAAATGTAACCATGATTGACACTACCTCCAAAAAGTTACCTAAACCTCTATCTAAGGTACCTGTTCAATCATGATCACCTGAAGCATATTACCTCACATCTACATCAATAATACTTTCTCGGTTTTTAAGAAAACAAGTTTAATAATGGTGATCTATTCAAATCTAGTTGGTCATTCATTAGTATCTTCCTCCTAAAGATGATCACTTGGTGATCGAAACACGTGCCGAGGTGTAAAAATAACGATTTGGTGTTGGGAAAAACTCCAGTAATATTCATTAGAATGTTTGAATATTCAAGTTGATTGTAAGGGTATAAAAATGGTCATATTCACAAATTCCCTAAATGAATCGCTGGTACGGGTTTTGTTTTGTACTCGCTGCAACCGGAAAATATTAAATTTTGAGCTATGGAGAGTATGCCTGTCTTGGGATATAATTGATTGGAAGTATTTTATTGAACCAGCTTTGCCAGAGGTAACTGAAATGCCTAGAGAACCTAAATATCATGATGAATTTTTACTTTCATCTATCACTTACAGGATATCCTTCCCCATATATGCTTGGAAAATTCAATCTGCAGATTTATTTGATTATTATTTCTACAACCTTCGAAGTCAAACAAAGCAGAAAGGTATCTTATCATTTTGATCACAATGCAAAATGAATACAGGTATGTGTTCTAGTATTACAGCACAGTCGTTCAGTGGACAAAATTTGGATTAACATGTTATATGAAGACGGAAATAGTGACTTCGAATGAAATAGTGGAATTCGAAGCTATAGAAGTTGATATTCTGGAATCCGTCAGTATTGTTCCAATGTTATATCCCTGGCAACTATCTTTAATTTCTGGCATAGCCATACAAACATCTTTCTTCAATGATGAATAGATTTCTGAACATGGCAAATCTGACCTCGTCAAAAATTGTAGAAAGAACATACTTAAAACTCTTTCGAGCTGGGCAAATCCGAACAGAGAATTGTAAGGATGGTAAAAGGGATAAAGTTGAAGTTGAAAAAAATTGTACACCTTCATTTTTATTGACAGTTTTCGTTGTACTGCTTTGAAGCTTTGTACGAGAAACTTCTAGCGAAATGACAGATTTATGTTTAGGAACGACCAAAGTAGAGAGCAACAAATTCGTTGTTTTGGCAACTAATTAGCAACTAATTAGCTACAAATTGATGTATCTTTTTTTTTGCAATTTTGCTGGATTCGCCTTGCTAGCCTGATAGGGCTAAAATGAAATACATTTTTAGATTTGTCGATAAATCGTAAATGAATTTTCTCTCCTAATTTTACTCATACCTTCATTGTTTCTTATCATACCAGGAGCTCTCGTTGGAAATAGTTGAAACATGTGCGCTATCTCAATTGGTATAGGTATTTAGACAGATAGCACATAGCATATAGTGTCACACTCGACTCTACTCGATAAACTTCCATACTATGGAATAAGGGGGAAAATAGCTGACTTGATCGATTCTTACCTATCCGAATGGAAGCAGTAGTGTGAGATCTACAGCAGTGAGTGTAATAGCAGGTATGCCTCAAGGGTCACTCTTGGGACTCCTACTATTCCTAATATATGTTAATGATCTTCCACACCATATGAACCCCCTCAACACGATTCAGTATGCCGATGATACTACTATTTATGAGAGTCACTCTGACCATGAATATCCAAAGCAACTAACTGGCAACGCGTTGAAAAAAATCGAATTTTTTTTGCAGCCAATAGGTTATGCTTGAATATCAAGAAAACTGAAACAATTTTGTTCACACTAAAATAACTGAATGACAGTCAAAAATCCATTAAGTTTTTGGGGGTGGGGGTAATACTGGATCAAAAACTTAATTAGAAAGAACACATTAAAGATCTCTCCTCTAAGCTGTCCAGCACTCTTTACATGTTCCGAAGAATCAATGATTTTGTTCTTATGTTTCGAGAGCAGCTCACATGGGGTTATTTCAGTCTGAGCGGCCATACGAATTGGTTTTTTGATGACTTTCAACTGATTGGGAAACAATATTCATTTCAGAAAAAACGGCTATTAGATTTCTGGGAAGGGCAAAAGGAACTGACAGCTGTAGACCTTATTTGAAAAATTTAATATATTAACCATTACGGCTCTATACATATTTCAATGTCTTGTCTATAACAAGACACAAAATAACACCCCTCAAGTCGATCGCGACCATGAATATTTGACCAGAAATGGCCATAATTTTCTTATGCCACAACATCGACTGGCAATTACTCATGAAAGTTTTTTTACTATGGCGATAAGGCTCTTCAACCATCTACCACCATGTATGAGAAAATTACATATGATTAAATTAAAAAAAGTTTGAAAGGGCTGCTGGTTGATCTCTGTCCTTATGACGTAAGTGAATTTTTTAACTGAAGGTTTTAATGGTTTGCCTTCTAATGTGTATGTTTTGTACTATAATTATCTAC